CACTGGTTCAGACAGCACCAACCCAAGGGGTTTTGTGAGCAATATGTGGCCCTGCTGTACAACACAGATGCCCTGAGAGATTCCTGGTTGCCTGGGGGTGTGGAGTTCCTTTTGCTGTAGCACTGCAGCTGCTCTGCCCTTACTCAGCTCTTACCTACCTCCCCATTCCCTGGCCAGGGTCTCTCTCCCTCCACTGCCTGGATGGAATTAGCCATGCTGAGGGTGCTGTGGCTGCTTGGAGCACAGATCAGCTCTGGATGTGAGGGTGGGATGGTGACAAAAGCCTGTAGGAACAAAGGACTGGGTAGGAGGTGGGTGGGTGTCAGGTGAGCTGTGATCAGCTCACACCTTTCAGGGACATCAGACATGAACTTGGGTATCCTGAACTTTTTGTTTTGGACTTGAACTCACTGAGAGCAAGTATGTGCCTTTTTCTGACCAGGAACAGAGCTGGAAAAACTAGTATTTGCATTGGTAGGATGGTTAGTATTTTCCTTGAACTGTTTTTAAAGCTCAAAATCCTTGGTCAGAGTTGGTTTTGTGTTGAATTACTTAATCAAAGCGAGCCCTGAATTATTTGTGAATTAGAACTACCCAGACAGGAGAAGCTTTTAAAATAAGTGGTTTCAGGAGAGTAATGTCATCAAATAAACTTACTTCCTGGTTGACTTGCAATTTTTTTAAAATAAAATTTAACCTTGATATGTTTATCTAATGAGAATCATTAATTCTGCCTTTATTTGAATGTTGCCTGTCCAGTGATGTCCTCGCTCTTTACTGTGCTCCTGCAGCTTTCCATACACTCCATTTTCTCTCCCCTCTCCCCCCATTTGGAGGTTGCAGGGCCGTGGGGAATGTTGTCCAGTAAATGTTGGGGAGCAGTGCAAAGCCCTGGCTCAGTGGGGACGTGGAGGTGAGGATTAAATGTCACAGATAAGTTCCAAAAGCAGTTTGCCAGCAGCAGGGGTGGCGATGTCTGGGGACAGAATCACCTGGGTGTGGAAAGAGGAACAATCCCCCATCCTCTGGCACCATTGTAGACACTGCACTGTGCAGAAGTAAGCACATGTGTGCTTGGATGCCAGTTTGGGCTTTAAGCTGCTAGAAAAAGGGGATTTTCAGACCAAAATGGAAGAGCTTTTCCAACAGGTTCTGTTTAAAGCTGTTTTGAGACATTGGCAAGTTGTCCAGCCAGGAGCTCTGGAACCAGCTGGCTCTGAAGCAGGTCCCTTTCTCACCTGGGGGAAATGATTCTGCCTCATTTTTCATCTAGAAAACTTTTGTGATGATTCACATCACCTTAGGAGAGTGAGTTACTGGGTGATCTGAGGGTGAACCATGTCGTGACAGTGGTAACCTCATGATACAAACCCGTGCACTTCCTGCACATTTGCATCTTCCAGTGATTCCAGTTTGGGGCCCATCCCTGCTGGGAGCTGGAGCTCTTCCCTCCCACCCCATTGCAGCTCTGAAGCCTCTTGGGGTCAGTCCTGTGTTTGCCATCTTCCTTTCTTTAACCATTTGTTGTAAAACAGATGCTCAGAGGGCAAGTTTATTTAAATGAAAGGGTTTTTTTTTCCATTGCTGAGAATTACACAGGTCTTTCAAATGCATTTGGCAGTTGGAAAATTAATGCTATAACACTAGCAACACAAAAATATGGCTGTATGTTGAGTTTAGGGCCGTGCTTGCCTATAAATCATAGATCCACAACCCGTTTCAGTACAGGTGTGCAAAAGTTAGCTTTTAAAATAATTACTAATAAACTTTCATTTTGCTTACACTTGCAAATCTCTTAAATATCTTCAAAACCAGTTTCTTTGGTAGAAAATACGTGTCTTGGTAGGTAGTGTCCACTCAGATGTAATAGCAAAGTGATGCCCACTGGAGCAATGCTGAATTCAAAGAACTTTTGGAAGTTTTGGAACCTGATGGTGTGCCAGCAAAGTGAAAACTTGAGTATTGCTCCTGAAGTAGTGAGGATAATTGAACACCAACAAAACTTGGTGAGAGGAAGAATGCCAGAGATGGAATCTGGCTTCTGGCAACTTTGCAATGCAGAATGGCTTCTTCTGGGTACTCGCTTTTGTGCATCACTTCTCTCCTGTGGCTGTAGTGTTTACTTTTTTTTTTGAACTTGATTTCTGTTTTTCAGTGAAATCTCATTTTTGCAGTTTTTCAGTGTTGAATCTCTCCTTGAGACAACTACATGTTGTTTTCCTGTAGAAAAAACCTGCTTCTAGCTCATTGTGTTTGGTGTCTGTCTGCAGGCAGATGTGAAAAGTGAGCTGCAGCACAGCAGTGGGGCGGGCAGAGCGAGTTTTGGGTCAGAAATGTTAATTTTACAGGCACTGGTGTACAGATCCAGGGGAGCAGTGACACTTTGGGCTCACAGGGTACAAACCCTCCTTCCTGTTCTTGTCTCTTCCCTCGGTATAAGCAGTTCAGCTCCCCAGGTAGCCTCGTGGTGGGGGAAAGGTGGGCTGTTCACCTGGCTGGAGGTGTGTGATCATGGACAAGGACATTGTCTGTCAGCAGGTGTTCCTCCAGAGCTTTCACAGTAATTGGTAGCATTTGGTTACAAGCTAATATTAAAGGATTTTGGGAAGAAGGTGGCTCAGGTGGCATGGTGTGTGCTCACTGGGCAGTGAGCTGTGTTAGTTTTGGACACTGCTAGAAGCAATGTCACACATAGAAATTTTGCATAGTTAATACCATGGGTTTATATTGTTCAAAAAAAGAAAAAAGTCATGCTGTTTGGGATTCCTTTTCTGAAAAAAATTCTAATAAACCAGTCTGGTGGATTGATCCTGTCCCATGTGTCTGCTCTTTCTCATATGCTGGTAACTGCTCCCCTGTTTTGGTGTCCCATTGCTTCGGCAGGAGCGTGAATGTGTTCCCACCATAAAGGTCCTGGGGGCTTTCGAAGCAAAAGGGAAATGTTTCAAGAGTAAAGTAGAGCTGTGACTTGAGACGTTGCACAAAATAGATTGTAGGTGGATGGCAAACAAACTGGTAAAAGCCTTTATTTTTACTTAACCATCTTGACCATGTGTGCCTCTTTGTACCGTGGGCTGCAGCCGTGCGGGGTGGGAGGGAACGTGTCGGTGTTTGAGATGTACTTGCTAAGCAGAAGCCGTGTCCTCTGCCCCTTCTCCCTTTCTGGACAAATTGTTCTTGCCAAAATTTTCTACCTGTTGCAAGAGTTGCTTTCCTTCCAGCACAGTAAAATGTCGACTTCTTTCACTGTTCCTTCCCTCTCGTAGGCATCTGTAACCTCTGTACGACTGTGTATAGGACACAGCAGTCATCGATCTCTGCTGGCTATAGATACCATCAACTTGAGTGTATTGTAAACGAACTGTATTCATTTGAAAAATAAATTTTTTTTGAAATGCACATGTGTCAGGCTTTATTTATACTTGCATCATTTTGATTATTCCCAAAGAACAGCTCATATTGGTTTGGGTGGGGGTTGTGGAGGGAGGCACTAGGCATATCCAAGGAGAGAAAACTATTTACTTTGGGTCTTTTTTTTGTATTTTAATGCCATTTAACTAAATTTTAAATAATTTTTAAAATGCAAGAGCTTGTTGAAGTGAAAATGGGAAACGGCTCTGGCAGTAGACAGTCCTGGCTCCTTCCTGCTTTAGGGAGCATTTTGTGCGATTTTTTAAAACAATGTTTGTCGCTGATTTGGGCGCCGCTTTGCTGCGGTTTGCGGTGTCCCTGTCACCGATACCCGCCCAGGAGCCGTCGCCGGAGCCGCCCCGCAACGGCCCCGCACGAGAGCGGGGAACGGTGAGGGCAGAGGGGGAATCGGCTGGAAACCGTGAAGAGACAGCAGGGTTCGGCCAGGAACGGTGAGGGGAGAGAGGGAGGAATCGGCCGGGACCGGTGAGGGGAGAGAGGGAGGAATCGGCCGGGGACGGTGAGGGGAGAGAGGGGGGGATCGGCCGGGAACGGTGAAAGGACGGCGGGGATCGGCCGGGAACGGTGGGAGAAGGGGGGATCGGTTGGGAACGCTGAGGGGAGAGGAGGAATCGGCCGGGAACGGTGAGGGGAGAGTGGAGGTCGGCCGGCAACGGTGAGTGGAGAGCGGGGAAATCGGCCGGTAACGGCGAGAGAGCGGCCCCTCCCTAGCCCGGCCCGGCCCTGCGGCGGAACGGGAGCATGGTCGGGCCGGAGCAGCTGAGTGCCCTCATAGCAGCCGGGGTGAGGCCCCTTCTGAGCCGGCGGCTGAGCCCTTTCCCTCTTTCTCCCCTTCTCCTCTTTCCCCTCTACCTACGGTCGAGCCCCTGTGTCCCGCGGCCCTCTGTGCCCTCTCTCCGGGCCTCCTTCCCTTCAGGAACTCCTTGGTCAGCCTTGGGCTGGGAGCTTGAGGGGCTCCGGCACAGCGCCCTGTGCCCGGGGAGCTGAGGCAGACATGGGGTAGATATTCCACTGCCAAGGGGTTCTGCCCCAGAACTGCTCCCGACTGTGGGTTTGGGCACCTGCAGCCCCCTCAGGAGCCCCTTGGACCTTCTGGAATTGGGTTTGCAGTTTCTCCCCACTGTGCACGGTGTGCTGGATAAAAAAGGAGACTAACAACTCTGCTATTCCTTGAAAGCCTTGGAGTCCCGGGGGTCACTGCCCTAGGCTAAGCCTTCAGTGGTAGGACAGCAGAATCAGTCACATCCTCAGCCGTTTTTGTCTAAGCTGAATACCATATGGAAGCTGGTGCTGTGAGCAGCTCCTGGTCCTTGCAAACAATTACATTCCTTGTGAGGGACAGATGGGACAGGGTTTTTCCCCTGGCTGGGGCAGAGGATGGCTCCCATCACCTGCCCTTGTGCTCCCCCATTTTAAGGAGATGTATCTGCATTAGGCCAGGCTCCAAGTTGCAGCTTGCTGCTTCTTTTCTCCTGAAGAGCTCTGTAGTTTTTGGCTGCAGCTCCATTTCAGGTGTATTTCCATGAATAAACACAGAAATCTTTCCTTTCAGTCACCTGTTGAGCAAGATGGCCTCGCTGAGTGTAAAGCCGGGCCAGCGCTTCACCTTGCCGGACTGGAAGAACAACTCCCTCCTCATCTCGGCCGACGCTGAACAGCAGCGTTATAATTCCCACCACATCCGGCAGGAAGGACGAGTTCTCCGCAATGACACCGGCAACCAGGTGAGCTCTGTGCCAGGGGAGCTGCTCACAGCTTTGCCAGGATAATGGGCTGAGGAGCTGGGGAGAGTGTGTAGATTTGGGTGTATGGATGAGGGAATAAAAGGCTTTACCTGTACATTTACTCCCTGTAAACCCACCTGCAATGATGTATCTGTACTGTCACTAAATCCCTGTGTGTGTTCTTCACATTCACTGCCACTGATGTTGTTCTCTGTGCTCTCCATTTGTGTAAATGACTGTGGTTCCAAATGGCAACGTGTTGTATTCCTGTGGGAGGCTCAGTCAGTCCTGAAAATGGGAAACGGCTTCGGCAAGATTCACAACTACAATTTTAAAAAGAGTGACGGCATTTTTCTCTAATTCCAGGCAAAATGGGATGAGCACAACAGCCGAACTCAGCTCAAAGATCGTATCACCACCGTGGACAAGTGGAGAGAGGCCCTGGCCAAATGCCTCACAGACTTAGATTTGGAAATTGAAGCCTTAGGCAAAGTATGTTGGGAAGGTAGATGGCTGGAAATGAACTTTCACTCTCAACATAGGATGTGAAATAATTGAGGCTTGTCTTGTGCAATGGGCAAGCCCATGTGGAGTTCAAGGGGGGCTTCACATTAGATATATTTATATATATATATGTATATTTTATACTGAGATCCATACTTGATGGAATGACTTCCTGGAAAACAAACCACTGTGTTGTTGGCTGAGCCAAGCCATGTCATGCAGCTGTGTATTACATGCTCCTGTTTGGATTTCTGGGTGGATTCTGTTGTTTGGACTTTTTATAAAGCACTGAAGGATAGTAAGAAATATGTTAACACCATCCTTCAAAAATGTTTGGGTTTACATAGGGAATAATGGTGGGAGATCTCTGATACCATAAGTTTTAAACCCAGAAGCTGCTCCTGCTTCTGGAATTGTTAACCCCCAGCAAGATGTGATTCCCAATGCAAATGGCAGGTGTAGAGGATTAAGGTGTTTGGCTCTGGCAATTTTTATTCCAGACTCGATAAAAGGTTTCAGAACTGCAAAGACAGTGTGAGTCCCTCTTAATAATGGTATGGGTGCATTCCCCTTCCTTTCTCTCTCCCATCCCTAAAAGACCCCCCACACACCTGATTGATTGCTTCTTCCAGGTGAAGGAAGCAGCAGAAAATGCCATCCAGGCAAAGAACTTGTGCTTGGATGTTGCCATTGAGTGCCTGACGTTCCGTGAGAGCCGTCGTGACATTGATGTGGTGAGGGATCCTGTGGAAGAAGAATTACACAAAGAGGTGAAGGTGATTGAGAAAACCAAGAAAGAGCTGCAGCAGCGAGTGGATGATGCCTTCAGACAGCTCTGGTGAGCAGTTACAGCTGTTGGCTGATGACTCTGCTCTCCATGCTTGGCCACAGATACTTAATGTGCCTCTAATGCCAGGCTGAGATGGGCAGGGAACCACACAGGAACCCTGGATGATTTTCAAGGCTGGGGATTTGGCAGGGAAGGGTGTGTCAAGAGCAACTTCCCCAGCACCATTTGGAAATTTTGTCCCAGATCTCTTGTGCCACCTGCCTTGGTTTAGGAATCAGTGGCCACGGTGTCAAAGCTCCCAGGCCCTGATACTCTGTGGGAATCCTTCACAGCTCCATTCTCCAGGGTGATACCAGCACACAGCCCAGGCAGGCAGCGCTGGGCAGGTCAGGCCCCGTTCCCAGGCAGGGTGGGAGCTCATCATTCATTTCACTAAGATGACTGACATGGTGATGAAGGTTTTGGGAATAGTGAGCTGCCCCTGCCCTGGGCCTGCTCCCTGCTGACTCCAGGCTGGCTCTCCACAGCCTCTTGAAGGAAGCTCGTCAGCAGCTGAGCTGTGACCACCGGCACAAGGTGGAGGCGCTGGAGCTCGATCGGCAGTGCATGTCCTTCAATCCCACCTCTGGCAACGTCTCCTTCAAGGTCAACCCAACACGGATCCCAGATGGGTAAGGAAAGGGTCTGTCCTTCTGTCCTTGTGTGATCTAATCTGCCCTGAGCCCTGGGTTGCTTTTTCCTTCCATGCTGTGTCCAGGCTTGATGGGCACAGTTTTGGAGAGAGCTCAGAACAGAAATTCGCTGTGGCATGGGAAAGCCATGGATTTTTGGGAGATAGCTAAATTGTCACCACAAACCCAGTGCCCTGCCTCTCTCCTGCCTGGCTGTAAGTTACACTCAGCAGTGTGGTGTCACCTCTGGCACAGCTCAGGAGGACCTGCTGCACATTTTCACTTGCCTGGCATTCCTTTCCATAGTTTGGATTTGTCCCTGGTGGAGCAGATGTTGGGCCTGGTGGCTTCAATCTCTGAGGAGATCAGGGCAGATGTGACCTCCAGCTTTGCAGAATCATTTTGTGTTGCCACCCTGGTCTCAAGCAGGTGGTTCCTTTAAAATGTCTTGCAAACACTGAATTTATTTTTATAACTGATTTGTTCCCAGAACAACTGCACTTAGTGAGTGGGAGATGAACAGCCGGTGCAACAAGGAGCGTGCTGAGGCAGAGATGAGAGCCTCAGTCGATCTCCGAGGAGCAATCACCCTTGCCATTGCCCAGGTAAACTGCTCCCTTGGCCCAGAATCTGTGGTGCCATTCTGGATCTGGTGTGGGAGAGTGGCAGCCATGTCTCTGGATCTGTCTGGGAGCAGCTGCCCTCCTGGTTTAAGCGGGAGCTTGGTTATGCTGCAGAGCTTGCTGAGACTGGACATGTCCCTGTCCATCGATCCCCACCTTCTGGCTGCTGGGGAAGTGTGACAGGCACAGCCAAACCTGGCTGGTTTTGTTCCTGAGCTTGTCCCAACCTTCCAGGCACAGTTTGGGGAGGACACAGACACCTTGCAGCCATGTGTGACTGGGGCTGCTCTCTCCCCAGACAAACAATGAGCTGGATGCTCAGCGTATAGCTACAGAGTTTGCACTGAGGAAGAGGATGAGAGACATGGAAGCAGCCCTGAGTGAGCTGAGATGGCAGGAGAAGAATGTAAGTGTTGTTTCTTTGGTCATGGACTACAACCCTGGCTGGGAACGGAGTCCCAAAGGCTCTTTGTTACATGGAAAGTGACTCAGCCTGAGTGTAGTTTCCATGTGTTTGCTGTTCAGTAGCACACATATGATCCCAGCAGTATCCCACCTCTCACAAGTGCTTCTCTGGCACTGCTTGGCAGCACTTCCAGGTTTCAGCCTCTTCATTTCACCCTTGTCTCAGCAGCACCATCCTGGGCCATGTGAAAGCAGAGGATTCAGTCCTCAGAAGCCCTTGAGTAAAATCTATCCCCAGCACAGCAGAATTCCCAGAGACACGGGGGCAGCTTCCCAGTCTGCATCCCAGGCTGTCCCTCATGACACATGTCTGTCCTCAGACCCTGGAGGAGATTGCTGAGATGGAGGAGGAGATCAGGCAGCTGGAGGAGGATATCAAGAAGAGAACCCTGGATCTGAAAGTGGCTCACACGCGCCTGGAGACGCGCACGTACCGGCCCCACATTGAGCTCTGCCGGGACCAGGTACCCCACCTGCCATGGTCCTGCAGGGAGCTGAGGGGAGGGGGGCTCTGGAAAACATGGATGAGTGTTGGAGCAGCTGAGCAATGCCTCCTGCAGTGACACAGCAAAGCAAGGGAATAATGTCAGAGCTAAGAGGGAACTGTGGCCTTTGTCAAGCCCTGTTAAGTGCTGTCCCCTCCTCCCTGCAGGCTCAGTTTGGACTGACAGACGAGGTCCAGCAGCTGGAGGGGATGATCCGTGCACTCCAGCAGAAGAGGACAGAGTCACAGTGAGTGTCCTGCTGTCCGGGAACAGCAGTGCTCAGCACTGCCCTGAGGGGATGTGGCTCTAGCTGTCCCTGCTCTGGGCACACCTCCAGCACCTGCCTTTTGGGACTTGGGCTCATAAGGGGCAGTAGTGTTTGGGCTTGGTGGGTGCAGGGTACAGGGGGGCTGTGCTGGGAGGGGAATGGGGCTCCCACAGCCCCTGCTTGACTCTGAATTCATCCAGATCCTGACTGAAAAGGGACAAAAAGAAGAGTGACAAGGAAGGAACACAAGTGCTGCTGTGGGCTGGCAGCTCCCCGGGTGCACATCTCTTGCTGCCCTCCCAGAGCAGTGTGTGGGCTGGCTATTCACTGCCCCAAACAATGAGTATCTGATGAGTTCGCTCCTTGTACAGGGCCACATGCTGCCAGAATGTGGGAAGTTGGGTGCTTCCTGTCCAGTTTAAAATCATGGAGTATCCTGAGTTGGAAGAGACACAAAAGAATGACTGAGACCAACTCCTGGCCCTGCATGGGACACCCCAACAATCCCACCCTGTGCTTGAGAGCATTTTCCAAATGTTCCTTGAGCTCTGGCAGGATTGAGGCTGTGACCATTCCCTGGGGAGACTTTTCCCATTTGATCCCAACTCCTGTCCCTTCTGCTCATTTCCAGGGATGCCTTGGACGCTCTTTACAGACAACTCCACCGCATTCAGACCGATATTGGCTACAAAACCAATTCTCTGCAGCTAGACAACAAGTGCATGGACACCCGGAGAAAACTCGTGGTCCCTGTGGAGAAGTTTGACCCAGAGGTCGATGCTGTCAGCCGCACCAGGAACCTGCCGAAGGAAAGTCAGCTGGAGCTGGCTTAGCGCGCCGGGAATTGTGCAAGCGCGGGGGGAATGGAAAACTCCCGGTGATTCAGTTCCGCAGCAAGGAAAAGCGGCATCTGCGTCGTGTTTGGGGAGAATGGAATTCTTCTCCTAGTTTGTTTTATAACTGTCTGGCCCTTGGATGATGTTTACAGCCTCCCGCGCTCCGAGGAGATTTATAAACAATAAAGGGCCTGTCCCCAGTTGTCATCCGCGGCGATTAAATCCAGCTGGATTCCAGGAGGGATTTAAGGGAGCAGGGCTGTGCTGCCGGCGCCTCGGTCCTCCGGGCCGCCAGGGGGCAGCACTGTGCGCGGAGCCCCTCGGCCCACGCTGCCCCCTGGCGGCCCGGGGGAAGAAGGCGCCGCGCGCGGCAAGATGGCGGCCGCGGGTCCGGCCTCAGGCGCCGGGCGGCTCCCGGCTCGTCCCCGGCCCGGCCTCGCTCGGTTCCGGGGCTGCTTGGCCGGGGCGTTGTTGGGGGATTGCCTGGGAGCTGTTTTCGAAGGCAGGAGCGTCGTGAAGCTGCCGGAGCTGCTGAGTTTCCTCAAAGGGCTGGAACCGGCGCCGCCTGAGGAGGGAGGGGAGGCGGCGGGGAGCGCACGTGGAGGTGCGAGGGGGGGAGCGCGGCGGGGAGCGGGGGATGTGCCCCGGTGCCCCCTCACACACCCCGCTGTGCACGGCACTCGGCACCCCAGAGATTCGGGTTGGACCCCAGCACCCCCAGGACTGGGCTTTGGGGTGTTTGTGTCCGACTCCCTCAGTACCCCCAGCACTGGGCTTTGGGGTCGTGTTTGTGTCCCACTCGTTCAGCACCCCCAGGACTGGGCTTTGGTGTGTTTGTGTCCCAATCCCTCAGCACCCCCAGGACTGGGCTTTGAGGGTGTCCAACCTGCAGAATCCCCAACCCCTCAGCTCCCCCAAAACGTGGATGCCCCCAGTGCTTACCCCTCACCTGGTTGTGGGGCATCTCTGCTGTGACTGCCCTCGCTGTCCCCTGCCCTGCTCTGTGCTGTCCCCCTGTGCTGTGGGGGTTCAACACCTATTTCTGATTCCCCAGGGATTCCTTAGGGAATATTGGGAAGGAATTGTTCCCCATGAGGGATTATGCTCTGGCACAGATTGCTCAGAGAAACTGCAGCTGCTCCATCCCTGGAAGTGTCCAAGGCCAGGTTGGGCTTGGAGCAACCTGGGACAGTGGAAGGTGTCCCTGCCCATGTCAGGGAGTGGAACAGAATGGGCTTTAAGGTTCCTTCCAACCTAAACCACCCTGGAAATCTGTGATTCTGTGTTGGCCTGACTCTTGTCCACATATACCTCTGGATGTCAGACATCTTCTCCTGGCTCTTAATAATCTTAAGGTGTATTCTGTGTCATTATGGCTGTGGATGCAGCTCCCTGGCTGTGTCCTTACTCTGATAACCAGTGTAGCTTCAGAGTGACAGGGAACTTTAATTCCAGACAGGTTTAGGTTGGAATGTGCCTTAAAAATCATCCAGTACCACCCCTGCCATGACAGGGACACCTTTCACTGTCCCAGGTTGCTCCAAGCCCTGTCCAACCTGGCCTTGGACACTTTCCAGGGATCCATGGGCAGCCACAGCTGTCCCTGACAACTTGTGGCAGTCAGGCCCTGGAGATGAGGGTGGTGCTGGCAGAGGACAGGAGCAGTTTGTCCCTGGCTGCTGGTGTGACTCTTTGCCCTCCCGTTGCAGAGTCGCTGCCCTACACGGACGACACGGCCATGAGCAGGTCGGTGGTGCAGTCACTGCTGGCCAAGCAGGAGTTCGATGAGGTTGACATGGCCAAGAGGTGAGCATGAGGCTTCCTGAAGGTGTGACCATCACTGTGACTGTCTGTGGAAGGGGACAGGGGCTGAGGCAGACTAATGCTAATTAATAATTTTTGTCAGGAAATAGGTGGTTAATCCTTTAGTTTGTTAATCCTTTTGCTTTGCCATGCCTTGGACCATGCAGCAGCATCAGCTGCAGTGTGGAGTCTGAAGCTGCCTTGACAGGGCAGCACAGCTGTGTGTCAACCTTGTGTGTGTTCACCTTTGGTGAGGAGAATGCTTGGAGATTCCAGAAACATTTTGTTTCATGTTTATTTGTTGCTATTTATGTTTGCACTGCCCTTAATTTAGTGCGGGAATAGGAGTGAGCTCAGCTTGACTCTGTTTATGATCTGTTTCCCTGTTGAATCCCCAGCCCTGAGAGCATTTGGTTCCACTTAAGGGAAAGCATTTCTTTGTTTAGAAAACTCTTCCATTGAACTTGAACAAAAGACTTTCCTTGTGGTTGTGACCCACGGAAATGTTTCTAGTTTGCTTCTATTTTGAGGCAGAGTTGAGAGGGAAACAAGTGGGTTATGGAAGGTGATGTTTATACATCCTTCTTTCACACTGTTCTTTGGGAATTGTTTCCTGCAGAACTGAATCTCTGAGCCCTGACTGTCCCTGATTTAGGTGTGTGTTATTAATTCACTTTAGCAAGAGGCTTCCTCCAATCACAAACCCCAATAACAGACCAAACCCTCGGGGTGTTCCCCCCTGCCCACACCAGGTTTGCTGAGGAGTACAAGAAGGAGCCCAACAGGGGCTATGGGATGGCCGTGGTCAATGTCTTCAAGAAGCTGCTGAGCCCCAAGTGCAGTGATGTGTTTGAGCCTGCGAGAGCCCAGTTCAACGGGAAGGGCTCCTACGGGAACGGCGGCGCCATGAGGGTGGCCGGCATCCCCCTCGTCTACTCCGACATCCAGGATGTCAAGAAGGTATTAATGGAACATTCTGGGCTTCTCTGGGCGTCCCTGCTGCCAGGGAGTGTCCCAGGGAGCTCTGCTGACACCGGGGTTTCTCTGCAGTTTGCGAAGCTCAGCGCGGAGCTGACCCACGCCAACTCCCTGGGCTACAACGGGGCCATCCTGCAGGCCCTGGCTGTGCACCTGGCACTGCAGGAGGGGCTCAGCAGGGAAACCTTCCTGGAGCAGCTCATCAGCCACATGGAGCACGTGGAGGCCGATGACAAATCTCTCAGTGATGCCCGAGCGTGAGTAGCTTGGGGAAAGCCCCAGCCCTGCTCTGGTGGTTTGTTCTGGCTCTTCACGTTCTCTCCTCTTCACTGCCCTCTCTGTTTGCAGGCTGGGATTTGAGGATTTACCATTTTCCAGGCGTCTCAAGAAAATCAAGGAATTTTTGGAGCTCAGCAGTGTTCCCAAAGCAGATGTATTGTTTGAGTTGGGTGAGTACCTTTTTCAGGAGAGCTGGAAGCAGGACTAACTCAGCAAGCCTGGTAGATGCGTGTTGCCCGAGATTCCTGTTCAGCTTATGCTGCCTGTCAGGCACAGGGTATGCTGGAAAAGCAGCCTGTGCTCACCAGTCAGGAATTCTGAGTCTCAATCCAGTTATTTCCTCTGTGTATTGATAGGGAAAAAATGGCTTGCTAAGAGAAACTCACCTTGCATAATGTTTCTTAACATTCCAAGACCTCTTAAGGGCTATTGGGTCAGCAGATTGAATGGGAATGAGTAGATGTGTGTGGCCAGGCTATACTGGGGTAACTGGGAATTGCTCTGCAGGATGTGGGTGGCACTGGGGAGCTGGGGGGTTTCTGAGGGATAACTTTTTGCACCTTTTCCTGGTAAAATCCATGATACTGTTATGGAAAGTTACCAGTAGGAAGGGAAAAGGAAGGAGGCCGGAGGGTGCTGACCAGAGGGGTGTGTTCCAGGCAATGGCATCGCTGCCCTGCGCTCCGTCCCCACTGCCATTTACTCCTTCCTGCGCTGCATGGACGCTGACCCTGACATTCCTGAGCACTACAACGCCCTGCAGAGAACCATCATCTACTGCATCTCCCTGGGGGGGGACACGGACACCATCGCCACCATGGCGGGCGCCATCGCCGGCGCCTACTACGGCGAGGAGCAGGTGCCCCCGAGCTGGGAGCAGAGCTGTGAGGCTTTCCAGGAGACCCAGAGGATGGCCAAGAGCCTCTATGAACTCTACTGCCAGCGGCTCTGAGCTCCAGGCAGCCCCAGGGCTCTCCTGAAGGCAGAGGGATGGTCAGCTCTGCTTCCCTGGTCAGACCCCGCGGTGGATCCGCACCGTCGGCCGATGCCAGCGAGCCTCAGCTGGGAAGGGGAAGGTGCCTGCTGCTGTCAGCTGGGAGCTGGGAGCAGGAGCCAGCCTGGGAAAGAGGGGACATCCCCTTCAGTCAAGGGTCAGCTGGGAAGTGGCTGCACTTGGACAGTGGCTGCAGCTCCCTGAGTGTACACGAGTGTCTCATTTTCTGTGGATTTCTGCTGCTTGCTTTGTCCACCATTGTGCCATTTGTCATTGCAATTACTGGCAGGTGTCTGGATCCATGGACTTTTTCCTTGTTTTCCTCTGCTCATGTGTCCATGGGCTGTGTTTTGGTGTCAGTGGCTTGTCCAGTCTCCACACCCCTGGTACAGCAGCAGGTCATTGTCAGCTGGCCAGATGAGGGATGTCATAGGAGTCACCAGAGCGTCACCTGTGCTGAGTTAGGATAATGGAGCGCAGATTTCCAGGGAAGTTTGTTGCCTTAAAGGCAGAATGAGAAGGGCCAGAAAAGGGATTTCTTTGCATTGCTGATGGCTCTGTGAGAGACCTTTGATGCCTGCAGACAATCCCAGCTGGCTCATTGTCCCTGCTGGGACGGGGTGTCACCAATTGCGGCTCCTCCTGTGTCCTTGGCCCTGTGATGCAACAGGCACCTGCTGCACTTTGTGCCCCCCTGCACAGCTGCTGTCACACTGCTGCAGCCACTCTGGCTGCTCCTGTGTTCCTAATCTATGTATTCTGTATTTTTACAGTCTTGTATATGCCCAGAGCACCAAGTGAGATTCCTGTTTAAATCACAGAATACCCCAAACTGAAAGGGACCCACAAGGATCATGAGTCCAGCTCCTGTGGAGTGCAGGGATAGAATTCCTGGTTCTGCTGCAGTCACAAAAGTGACTTGAGCAGGATGCAGGAGTTAATTTATCACAGTCTTAGCC